AAAAAGCCTGATGAAGCTTAGTGAGCAATGAGAAAAGGGAAAAGAATGGTACAAGAAGGGCCTAGAAAAGTTGGAGAGAGCCAGTACATGTAGAATCAGGTAGAACATGTCAAAGAGTTTGTTTTATTCTATATGTAACAAGAATCCATTGAAAGTGACATGATCTACTTCATGCTTTAAAAAGTGGACTTGGCTTTGAGGAGAAGAGTAAACTGAAGAGAGGCAAAGGTGGAACTGATGAGACTAGCCACTGAAATAACGGAGATGAAAGATGATGGTGGGTCAGACCAGATTGTTCCCTGGGAACATGCCAAGTAATTTCAAAATAGCCACTGATAAATCGCATAGAATTTCCTAAAATACAATTTGGAATAAGAGACTAGTTTTGTACCTTATGAGAATACTAACAGTTATGATATAAAACCAGTTCATTTGAGAATATATTATCTTGTACTACACTGTGAGTTCCTCAAGGGTAGGGCCCAAATAATATATAATCATTTAAAAACTCACAGCATCCAACAGAGTGATACATGCATATTCGTGTCAAGATAAATATTTGGTGAATGAATGTAATACAAAGGGAAAGGAAAGATAAATATAGATTAGATCTATGAAAAGCTATAGGGAGGAGGCTGGACTTGAGCTGGTACAAGAAGTTTTTAAACTTTTATTTTTTTTTTTAAGTTTTTATTTAAATTCATTAGTTAACAGACAGTGTAATATTAATTTCAGGTGTACAAGATAGTGATTCAACAGTTCCATAGGGCACCCAATGCTCATTACAAATGTACTCCTTCATCCCCATCAGCTATGTAACCCATTGCTCCACTCACATCCCCTCTGGTAACCATCAGTTTGTTCTCCATAGTTGTAAGAGCCTGTTCTTGGTTTGCATCTCTCTTTTTTCTCCCTTTGCTTGTTTCTTAAATTCCACATGAGAGAAAGCATATGATACTTGTCTTTTTCTGACTCACTTGTTTTGCTTAGCATAACATATATACATACTCACATACATACCACATCATCTTTACCCATTCATCAGTCATTAGACACTCTAGCTATTTCCAGTTTGGTGATTGCAGATATGCTGCTATTAAGTATCAGAGTGCATGTATCCCTTTGAATCAGTAGTTTTATATATTTGTAGAAATACCTAGTAGTGTGACTGCTGGATTGTAGGGTAGTTCTATTTTTAACTTTTTGAGGAACCTTCATACTGTTTTCCAAAGTGGCTATACTAGTTTACATTCCCACCAACAGTGCAAGAGGGTTCCCCTTTTCCCACATCCTCACCAACACCTGTTGTTTCTTGTGACACAAAAAAACTTCATCTAAGGCATAGGCCTTGCAACTAAGCTCAACATTATGTGTATAGGCCCTTGGAGAGGGACAGCAACATTAATCACATTTCCAAAGGAGGTCACCACCTATAAAAATATAAGGCACTGAGGTAGGCCTTAAATCATACCTAAAGGTAGAATAAGAAGGAAAAAGAAAGGCTTGTTCAACTGGGCAAAGGAAAGAGGAAGTGTGAAGAGAGAAGTGTGTAAGTAGCATTTGAAAGCTGAGTTAGTATCAGTGAGGTGGTCGATCCCCTAAAATAATGAATGCTTACTTTTATTAAGATACTGCTTTAAGTGCTTTTATATCCATTTTCCTATCTAAATATTCATAACTTAGTCATTAAGTAATCATGATGTTAATATCATTGATCTTCCTATTTTAGAAGACTGGGGCTTAGAAAGGGTAAGCAATACAATGTCATAGAGCTATTAACTGACAGAACTGAAAATATCTGATGCCAAAATTCATGCTGTTCCATAAGGCGCAATGAATACTACTTCCCAAATATGAAAAAGGTCTTTGTAGTTTAATACAGCTTTCTACTTATTTTATTGATAGTTAGTTAGCTTCATGAAAAGCTTAATAAATATATTTTATTAGCCCAAATAATTATTACTAATTACTAATGGTTACTAATTATTAATTACTAATAATACTAATATATACATAATTGGGTCACAATATTACTCAAAGGTCAATGCTAGGAAAAAATAATTGGCATCCTAACAAGTCATCCCTTTACAAACAATGGTTGTGTTATAAAAACTTACTGGCTTTTTTAATTGGAATTTTGAGAAAATCAAGAGTCATTTTTTTTTTTACTTTTTTTTTCTTTCCTTTTATAGTTTATTGCCAAGTTGGTTTCCATATAACACCCAGTGTTCATCCCAAAAAGTGCTCTCCTCCATGCCCACCACCTCCTTCCCCTCTCCCCCAGACCCATCAACCCTCGGTTTGTTCTCAGTATTTAAGAGTCTCTCGTGGTTTGCCTCCCTCCCTCTCCTTAACTATTTTTTCTCCTTCCCCTCCCCCATGGTCCTCTGTTAAGTTTCTCCTGTTCCACATATGAGTGAAAACATATGGTATCTGTCCTTCTCTGCCTGATTTATTTCGCTCAGCATAACACCCTCAAGTTCCATCCACGTTGCTATGAATGGCCAGATTTCATTCTTTCTCATTGCCATGTAGTATTCCACTGTATAGATAAACCATATCTTCTTGGTCCATTTGTTAGTTGATGGACACTTAGGCTCTTTCCATGCTTTGGCTATTGTTGAGTGCTGCTATGAACATTGGGGTACATAGGCCCCTATGCATCAGCACTCCTGCATCCCTTGGGTAAATTCCTAGCAGTGTTATTGCTGGGTCATAGGGGAGTTCTACTGTTAATTCTTTGAGGAACCTCCACACTGTTTTCCAGAGAGACTGCACCAGTTACATTCCCACCAAGAGTGTAGGAGGGTGCTTGTTTCTCCATATCCTCGTCAGCATCTATAGTCTCCTGATTTGTCCATTTTAGCCAAAAAGTCATTTTTAAGGAAGAACATTAGGTACATGGACATCTTGAGTAAAAATTTTATTTTATTTTGTAAACATCCATATATCTTTGTATTCCTTTCACATGTCAGGAAAAACTGTGAAAGACTTTAAAATGGATAAAAATATTAGGTGTCCTGTGTAGTGGAACAGTCTGGATTATGTTCACTGTCTACAGTCTTTCAGCTATTTTACAACTCAACCTTGCAGAAAATAGTAATGTGTGTTTTTGTTCAAATGATTCTTTTGTACAAGAGAAGTGCAATGGGCTACTTTGCAGATAACAACTAAAGTGTTGTCAAATTTCATTTACATTCATTTAGTACTTAATGCTTATGTTTTTGTGTCCTTTGAATTTTCCTGTGAAACAGTTGTAATATCTGATTCCTTCAATAATTAATTAATAAATAACACCTTTGATATGTATTCATTTAGTATTTACAATAAAATTATGATTTTACCTTTAAAATTATTCATTAACAGTTTTGAATTAAGGGAGCCTAGATGGCTCAGTCGGTTAGGCATCCAACCTCATTTCAGGTCATGATCTTGAGGTCCATGGGTTTCAGCCCTGCATCAGGCCCTGTGCTGACAGCTTGGAGCCTGGGGCCTACTACAGATTTTGTGTCTCCCTCTCCTTCTGCCTCTCCTTTCCTTGTGCTCTGTGCTCTCTATCTCACAAGAATAAATGAAAATTAAAAAAAGTTTTAAATTAAAAAATAAAAAAATGTTTATTCATTTTTGAGAGAGAGACAAGAGCAGAAGCCAGGGAGGGACAGAGAGAGAGGGAGATATGGAATCTGAAGGAGACTCCAGGCTCCGAGCTGTTAGCATAGAGCCTGATGTGGGGCTCAAACTCATGAACTGTGAGATTATGACCTGAGCCAAAGTGGGGCACTTACCTGACTGAGCCACCCAGGGGCCCCTTCATTAACAGTTTTAGAGATCATCCACTGATAGGCCCAATGAATTCAACAAATAGGACCAGATAAACCACACTGTTGGAGGAGTACACTTTTCAGCACTTGCTTAAGTCTATAGGTATCTTTTTGTTGCAACCACAGGTAAATCCCAAATGCCAACAGAATTCTATTTTTTCCTTTGTTCATTTGTTTTGTTTCCTAAACTTTACATGTGAGTGAAATCATATGGTATTTGTCTTTCTCTGACTGACTTATTTCGTTCAGGATTATACTCTATAGCTCTATCCATGTCATTGAAAATAGCAAGATTTCATTCTTTTTAATGGCTGAATAATATTTCATAAATGTCTATTCATGTCTTTTGTCCATTTTTAATTGGATTTCCCTAAGATTTTAAGTCAAATTTCACTTAATTACTTTTTTTTCTTCCCCCTCTCATTTTATATCCATATTAGGGACTGGGATAGATTTTTCTGACATCCATGGTCTAAATTATTATTATTTCATTAACTTTATTTATTTATTTAAATTTTTAAAAGTTTTTTAAAATTATTATTAGTTAGTTATACTTAACAGTTCAATTTTTTCTAGCCTAGAGCTTTTTATAAACTATCATATAGTCAGTGACTAAAACAGGTGATAATGTATCCTTTGAAGTTTTTATTTGAAGATTAGTAATCTTAGAAATTGTGTCAAGACTCAAATCTCAAAATGGTATTAATGAGAACATAATGAAGGAAAAGAAAATAAGATGAAAAATCATGAGCAAAAAATGAGGTTATCAGAAATTAAATATTAGTTTGACCAATTTGTTTGTGTTTTAAGACGTAAAGTGATTCTTTTAACGGCTTATCTTAATTAAGCCAGGTAATTTATTTAAGGGTATGTGATAAAATTGCTACAGGAAAATAATAACTTCTGAGGAATGAATTTCTTGGAGTTATGTGGTAAAAGCTCTTTGTCACATACGGCAGAATCTTAATGATATCAGAATATTTCAGATACAGGAGAAACTCTATTAAACTAAATTCCTTGAAAGAATATGCTCAGTGGCACTTACACTTTTAGAAAAAAAGTATGCTGAAGATCATTCAGAATAAAACACATCTTCTATAAAATGTTATACCTATCTCCAAGGATAGGTGGTAGGCTGTATGCTTGCAAAATCTTTAATGCAAAAGCCTATTGTCTTACCCGTTCATCTGCACTGTCTGTTGCATGATGGGAATAATTGATGAGACCAGGAATGGGCTGCTCACCGTGTGCCATGATAACAGCTGGACTGGTGTAGAATGGATGCTTCAAATGCACAACACATAACAACTATGAGTATAGTGACAAGAAAACATGAAACTATACAAGCAAAATGACTGGAAAGGAAAAGGTGAAAACTAAACAATGAAATGCCAAAATTTTTCAAATGTAGAATGACAATACCAGCTTAGACTTCAAATGTTGTAAGCTTTTTCTTAAGATGGAAATTGATGGTACTTTTTACTCTTTTAACTAAGAGTAAAAGAGTAAGAAGATATAATGATTTAAAATGGGTACCTATTTAACCCATCAGTTCCATAAAAACAAAATGAAACAAAACAAAGCAAAATCACATAACAACATAACTACTTACTAATATTAAGTAAAGACTTAATGGACCATTGAATAGATGTGGAGACAAAATCATTTGGTCTTCAGTGAAAGAACCACCTACTGGTTGTCTACAAGGACACCTTAAAAAGATCTCTATAATCCTTTTAATCTATGTGTTGTCGAAAATCCTCTCGTTATGTTCATAGCCAAAATATCTGGATGATGCCTAAAACTTTAGGAATTACTTCATATAATAAGATTAGGTTTTCAATCTTTATGCTCTCAATCAATGAACAATCATTATTCCCAGAAGTGATATATCACTTTCTGAAGATTGTAAAGCTTACTGGGTGGATTATACTAGGTATGAATAATAATGTAAATGATGTTCTATGACTAAGGGAACGAAGTTTATGCAAGTACCTCATGGTACTCTATTTACTACCAGAATTGCCCAAAAAGAATCTGTAATACTTTGGCACTATTCTAATAACATTATTTTATTATATACAAAAAGTACATTATATCTATTTTCTCTCCATAATACTTGGGTAATTTGGGTGAAGAAATATTTAAATGAATGTTAATTGCTGAAAAAATCTGTCTTTAAAAAAATCTTTATTAATCTTTTTCAACTAATTTTTATAATTATCTAAGGTCTCTTATCTTCGGTTTGCTGCTCCTTTATGAATTTGTGAATATTTGATGTTTTAAATACATAAACATTGTATATTTAATATGTCCACAAAATGACATTTCTGGAGAGTTAAATGTCACATTGTTTATCATTATAGCTATTACTTCAATAGGCAACAGCACTATTCTTAATGCCTCAAAACTGAGAACAAACTTCAGTGCTTTCAAGGAGTCTATCTACATTATGGAGGGAACATAGCTGTGAAGTATCATAAATATCCTAGTTCTTTTTTAAGGATGCCTTGAAGAGGTACTGAACTTATGAAAAAAATGGGGCGGAAAGAGAGATGAAATCAGTACATTTACCTGTGGTTCCTTTAGATATTTGGGTCTTTGTCAGCAGGCTTACCTTGGCAGCAATGGCTGCTGCAGTTATATGTGACGAAGAACTATCCTCTGTTGAAGCAACACCACTGTCTTTCTTCTCTTCTTCCTCTTCCTCGCATTGAACCCCTTTATCTTCTGTCTGTTTATGGGGGCTAGTTGTGGGAGGAGGGGAAAGAGGAGGTGGTGGGGAAGGTAAATCTTCAAGTTCATCATGCACTTCCTTTACTTTTACAATGGCATCACGTAAAAGGTCAATGGCATGAGGTAGAGCTGGCAGTATAAACTGAAAGCATTCCTGTATGCAAGAGGAAGAAAAAAATGGAGTTAAAGCACTTTTAAAGGTAAATAAAATGATAGCAATCACATTTATTTGTGATTTTGGATCTATATTTCTTTCCATCAGTCTTAAGAATGAATCATAGTTAAAGTATTGTTTTTGTAACGTGAAATATGAAGTAAACACTGTATACTTTAAAATAGTCTCTGTGAGCTGTAAAATTACAGAAATATATAAGCCTATAGTACATTTTTCTTAAAGTAAAATTTCTATGTAACTTTGGGTTTTAAAGATGAATTATGGGAAAGGCAGGAAACAGTTTTCACCTTTCTAGTAAGAGCAAAGTACTAGAATTAACAAACCAATTGAGGGCTGATTTAATTTATTCAGAAAGCTTAAGTTCTGACTACCATCATAAAACATAGGCAACATTGTGCAATATGCAAAAATAGATATGAGTTTGTACAGAGCACTGCATAAAAATCACTACAGTCTCCTGCTCAAGTGTCCACTATTACCTGTAACATAAACCAAAAGAGAATTGGTGTATTCTCTCACCAAAAGACAAAGAATAGGTGAGAACTTTAAAATCAGAACATAGGGCCAGATATATCCAGGGAATGTATTTGGGCAGAGGTTTTTCTCTTTTACATTTAAAGTAACTTACCTTAAAATCTAAGATGTAAAGAAATATCTTAAAATTTACAGAGGGTTATGGAATATCTGTAAGGGTGACTAATCTTTTGACTTCTCTTTGTATGGTTCAGAAAATTTTTTAACTTTTTTTAAAAAATTTATTTCTGAGAGAGAGAGAGCATGAGCAGGGGAGGGTCAGAGAGAGAGGGAGACACAGAATCTGAAGCAGGCTCCTCGCTAGCTGTCAGCACAGAGCCCTGCGCGGGGCTCAAACCCATGAACCGTGAGATCATGACCTGTGTCAAAGTCAGCCGCCCAACCAACTAAGCCACCCAGGTGACCCCTCTTTGTATGGTTCAATCACCCTAGTGATAAAGATTATATAGCAAAGAATTTAACCTTGACCAATGAGAGGGCTGGCCTTTACTCTCAGCTTTTGGGAGGTGAACTCTAGTTCCTGGTCTTGCCTAAAAAGAATATCTTTGTTTGCCTAGGAGATTGGTCATTGGGCAATCTAATAATGTGGATTATTATGAGGATTTAGAGAAAAAATGGTGTCAGTTTTGCCTCTGGAAGAAACTAGAGACTAAAGACATCAGTTTTCCCTCTGGGAAGGGTTAGACTAAAGGCCAACCATATGGGTAATAGTAATCAAGTCCCAATAAAATCTCTGGACATCAAAGACAAAGGTGAGTGTGCCTAATTATGATATTCTGTGTGTACTGTCTCATATTAGGGTCAAGAAGAGGTAATGCTATCATTGAATTCATGGGAGAAGATGATCAGAAGTTCCTCATTTGGCACCTCTCACATTTTGCCCTATGTGCTACTTCTCTTGGCTGATTTCAATCTGTATTCTTTCCCTGTAATACACCATAACTTTGAATTTAGCAGCTTTCAGTGAATTCTGTGAGTTCTTCTAGTGAACTATTAAAATTGAGGGTGGTTTTATGGTGCCAAAAATGAGGGAAGTCTCGTGGAGTGCTCCACATTTATAGCTGGCTAACTTTTGCAGTTGGCCCAAACTCCTTACAGTTGGTGTTAGAAATGAAACTCAGTAGAAAGATCCTGACTCATATGATCATGAAACATGATCTGGGAAGAGAAAGAAAGAGAGGGTGGGGATGATGAATCTTTAGAATCTGGATAAACACAGGATCATGCACAGTATGCAATTGTAGCTGTGCTGCAATTAGTTTTTAGAGATAAAAGTTATCAATGGAATTTTGAAACAAAAGATGCAACTTTTAAAGAGTTGTATTGATGCATAGAGAAACAAAGTAAATACACAATATCTTGGTTATTGTTATTTGCACTAGCTAAAACAAAATGGAGAATGTAGGGGTGGATCCTCAGGTTGTGACAAGCTTCAGATTCTGGCTGATCTGACATATGGCTGCTAACCCCTGAGCTGCTTCCAAAGAAAAATGTTATGCTGAAGCAATAAATAGTGAATAAAGTTAGATTTATTCACTAGAGAAAGGGGGTAAGAGAAATGAGAGATACAAGGGACTTATCCTTTCTGGGCAGAAATATTTAAATGATTATTAAGAAATGGATGAATAAAGTGAGCACTGTTGGGGGCAAAATAAAGGCCTTAATGTAGCACTATTTTGGTTTGAGCAGACAGATGGGGAGCACTGATCTCCCAACATTGGAGGGTCCTAAACAAATATCAATTTACCCTAGTTTGAAGGAATTTTAAAAGCTAGAAAGCATAGATAACTCAAAGAAACCTCACCTTGATCCACCTTAAGTGAGGGTCCCATAATCTAATCAATATATGTCCTGACCAAAGAGTCTGAATCCCTTGGTCCAACCCAGGCCTAGAAATCCAAGGCCATATACACATAAATGGATAAAATGGTCAGGGGAGGGAGAAGATCCTTTTCTGGGATTCCTTGACATGGCACTGCTTATGTACTGTGATTCTAACACCTGTTGAAGTTCTAATGGGCAGGGGTAGAGTACAGTTAGATCAGAAGGATAGAGAGATACAACAGTTGATGGAATTATAGTGAAAGTTGGGATGAAAATTAGATGTTTGAACAGTAAACTTTATATGAAGTGGTCAGTCTCCTTTATCTGAATGTATTATGGGGATGAATATTATGTTTGACTGGATAATTCTTCCCCTACCTAGTACTGCAAAACAGAAAGCATAAAAGTCCACTCTTCCACCAATATAGATTGTACATGCGAAACGGGAACCAATAAGATTGCCTGAGTCAACACAGGTCATTAATTGAAGAAGGTAAAAACAAATCAGCTCGATGGGCTGAACTGCATTATGTTTGCCCCTATGTTTGTTTTTTTTACCAACTCATAGGAAGTGTCAAGGGGTCTGGTGGAGTGCAAACTGGGTTTATTGCAAAAATCTGTGAGTGCCACCAAAAAACAACTGCTGGGATTTCAGATCAGAAAATTTCCACTTGAGAGGCATTTACTAGCTTGCTATTGGATTTATAATTGAGATTACCCTTATGACTGAAGAACATAAAATTATCGTGAAACCTTAAATATCCATAATGTTTTGGGAAATATTAGAGAAATACTCTAATGGGAAGGCAATGCCCAAGAGAGTTCCATAATAAAATGGAAATGGTGCATATAGGATCATGCTACCAGGAGAATGCAAGGAGGTACTCACGAGCAGGTAGCCTCTTTTCACTAGGGCCGACTTCGGAACCACCTGAGGAGCTGCTGGATCCCATGGCCACTTGGGCCACTTGGGCGGTGCCCTATAAACAGCTTTCTACTGATCAACAAAGAGCTGCTTGGTTTATGGATGGCAATTCCAAGGTGAAGGGACAGCATCCTGTTTGGAAGGCCGCCACTCTGATTGAAGAAGGTAAAAACAAATCAGCTCGATGGGCTGAACTGCATGATGCTTGCCCCTATGTTTGGGTTTTTACAACTCACAAGAAGTGTCCAGAATCCTGGTCATATGGTCAGGCAGAAGGGCAATGGAAAATTGGTCTATTAAAGGGATGCCTGTGTGGGACATGGCTTATGAAAATCACTCTGGGAATAGAAGGGGTATATTAAAGTAGGATATGTTAATCCCCATCAGAAAAACCCCCTTTCAGAATGGGAAGTTAATTAGAACTCATGAGCAGATATCCCAGCATGCATGCTTGACATGGCACTTGGGCCCATGAGATGAATAGACAATGGGGGGGGGGGGGCTGCAACAATGCAGAGATGGGCTGATTTGATAAATTCCTCTTGCACCCTCTGAGGCACAGAATGTCAACAAGAACGGGTCTGTCTGCTAACAAAAAAGATGGACAGCAGAAAGCTATACAGCGGATTCCATAGGGGAAGGTCCTGCACATAGCTAGCAAATTGGACTGATGTTGCTAGTCTCTGGAGGCTATAAATGAGTCCTAATAGGAATAGACATTTACTCGGGACTGGGCTTTGCTTACCGAATGGTAGATGCAAATGCTCAGTGTACTATGAAAGGACTAGGACAGAAAATATTGTACCAATGACTGTAGAGTCACATTTCCTTAGACCAAGGTACACACTTTCATATTCAGAGCAATGATTTGATAGCAAATTTGAATGGGCAAAGGAAAGATTTCTTGTCTAAAGAAGGAGGAGCATGGCTTACATGTTCTCATTAGTGTGTGGTCACATTCAATATCAGGGAGGCCTAGGGAAGGTCCCCACCAAATATAGTCCTCTACCTTTCTGGGGAAGAGAGGGTTGGGGGATGATATTGGTAAATATATATATTTTTAGGACTATATTTTTTCTTTTATCATATCAGACCAACTTTCTTTTTTTCCTACCTGATGCTATATGGTGACAGTATCAGGACTGCAACTGTGTGTGCCAAAAGCAGGATGATTCTTAAGCAGAAACTATAACTGTATCTTTAAGTCTTGATGTCAGAGTTCCTAAGGACCTGATTAGGTAGATTATGCCTGACTCCATCTGGACAATTTAGGATTGACAATGGACGCAGTTACATTGCCTGGTGTGTGAGATTGCTCACTAGTCCTGTACCTACGTAACCTTACCTGACATGAATGGAAAAGGACTAAGCAGGTGGCACTTGCTAAATAAGTATTACTGGTGGCAGTTTGGACCAGCATAGTGGCCAAATCAACTGTCTCATTCAAAGATTTTCAAAGGAAAAGTCTGAGTATAAATGGAGAGAAGGAGGAATGGTAACTGGAGGTAAAGGAATGAATACATGAGTTATGCAATGGAAGAGATCCGATATTATACAGGTGTCTCAAAATCCATAGAACAAGAAGATACTGTTTCTTAGCTCAGTTGTAACAGATGCCAGAAAGGGTAAAACCATAAGTTGCTGAGACTACTCTTGCTCTGGGAACCTGACAAGTCTCTAAACCTGAGTAGCATAGTTCTGGGAGACAGTTTGGTCATATGATATGATGATGGACTAGGCTGTTAATATCTGTGTAGGACTCCAGTAGTGTGCCAGTATTTTCTGACTCATATTTCAGGTTGTTATCTACTTCTCTACTCTGAAATGTCATAAAACTGGTGTTGCTAGTAAGACTGTAATACTGATATTGATGATCATATGTATTAGGAAATGGTTAAATCCTCCTCAGAATGTAATACCAATGGAAAAATGATTGGCTTGAAAAAGACAGCTAATTTCTGTGGTAAATAGTCCTTTGGAAATGTATCATAGGATACAAATAGTAGCAGATCAAGGTAGAAAATTAGTATATTAGTACAAAAATATGAAAATGTATTGTAATCGCTTAGAGGAGAGATTAGCTGTTTCTCAATTTTATCCTTATCCCATACTGGCTTCTCCAAATCTCAGACATATTCACACTGATACCGTTGTTGCATCTGTAATATAAATGCTGTAGTAAATATAGATGCCCAGCCAGATAAATACAATCATTTGCTATTAGAGAGCCTCGGCCAAAGGCCAGGGGGAAGCTTGTGTAATGAAGAATTAACCTTATCCCAAGAGAGTTTGGCCTTTGCTCTCAGTTTTTGGGATGTGATAGGAGTGTCTCTGTTTGCCTTGGAACTTTGGCCACCAGACAGTATTAACAATGTGATTTATGATGGGGGCTTTAAGCATTTTGGTATCAGTTTTGCCTCTGCAAAGTGTTGGAGACTAAAGGAATTAGCCTAATCTTTGGAAGGGACTAGAGACTAAAGGCCAGCCATATTGGCAGAATGTGATGAGCCCCAGTAAAAACTCTGAACACCAAGGGCTTGGAGGTTCCCTGACTGGCAATACTCCCTATGCTGCTGTACACTGACGCCAAAAGAGTAATGCATTCATGACTCTACAGGGAGAGGATAATAGATGGTTTGCATTTGGTACTTCTCTTCTATTCTTGATTAACTTTAATTTGTATCCTTTCCCTGTCATAAACCATATCCATCAGGATAACATCTTTCAGTGAGTTCTGTGAGTCTTTCTAGTGAATTATTGAAACTGAGGGTGGCTCTGGGAACACACTAGGTTGCAACTGGTGTCAGAAGTGAGGGGAGCTTTGTGGAGTGCTCCAACTTTTTGGTTGACTAACTTGCAGTGGGCTAACACTTTACACTAAACCATATAAATCTCAAGATTGCTTACCTGAGATCCTTTCTTGCTACCTGGCAGGTTAATTATGAGAGTTTTACCTCTGATTCCACATACAGGCCTGAAAGGAAAGAGAAACTGGATGAATACTAAATTGCAATGAATGGTTGGTTTAAATACGTTCAACAACAAAGATCAATCATTGTATTTTACATGTGAACAATTGTTTTAGAATAAAATTGTGATAGCTAGAGATTCACGAATTGCTATACAAATTGGGCATTCTGGCTGAGATTTTTACTATAATGGTTAGTGTGTTAGATTGTAAACATGTACTGAACACAAAATCAGAATATATTAGCCAATTTAAAGAAGTAATGGCCAGAATATTGTCTTTCTCTAACTTTAGCTTCTTTGTATCTGATACAGTTCTAAGATTTCAATGAGATAAATGTATTAAAAAATGTCTAGCACAGTAATATTTATTTTCAAAAGTCTAACACAAAAAGGACTCAAGAATTGAGGGAGACTTAAATTTGAGCTATATTGCTTCTTAGTAAAGTGTGTAAATTTTAAAGTAAAATAAGGTCTCTCACAAATGAATGGCAGTGGGGAGAGTTTGGAGAGCTCAGCTGCTAACAGATCCATTGGAAAAACAAGGGCAGTTGAAAGCAGAAAGGTCTTTCAAAGATTACTGCAAATTTCCAAGCCACTTTTAAACTAAGTGGTTAGATAAGAAACATAAACAATGGAAAAGCACTGGAAGACAGGAGTCAAGAGTTGAAGGCTTGGATTTCATATGAGAGTTAGAGTCATGCTCTGCCAATAACTGGCTGTGTTACTTTCACCTGGTAACATCTAATTTTCATCATCTGAAAACAAAAGGATTAGATTAGTCTATTTCTAAAACTTTACAACTAAGATTTTAAGTCATGTAACAATCTTTTCCCAAAACTTCTTCCTATGAATGAGATTATTAACTACTTTCACTCTCTGAAATAACCTAAATTTGTCTTCTGTTGTATTTTTTTCTGTTATATCCTATTCACAAAGACAAGAGTTGATAGCTATTTACTTTAAATTTTCCATATCCTTTTTAATTGAAATATAATTGACAAAGAGCATTGTATTAGTATTAGGTGCACAAAAAATTGTGTGATATGCATATATATTGTGAAAGGATTGTATAAATAAGTTTAGTTGACATCCATCACTAAACAGTTACTATTTTTTTTCTTGTAATGAGAATTCTTACAAACTACTTTTTTAGAAACTTTCAAATATATAATATAGCAGTATTAACTATAGTCACCATGCTGACATTACATCCTTTAGATTTATTTATTTAATTATTGGAAGTGTGTTTTTGACCACCTTCGCCCATTTCACCCATTGTGCAATGCCTGCCTCAGGCAACCACCAATCTGTTCTTTGTTATTTATGAGTTTGCTTATTTTTATTTTTTACTTTTAAATATTTATTCATTTTTGAGAGACAGAGAGAGACAGGGTGTGAGTGGGGGGCGGGGCACAAAGAGAGAAGGAGACACAGAATCTGAAGCAGGCTCCAGGCTCTAAGCTGTCAGCACAGGGCCAGATTCAGAGCCTGAACCCACAGACTGCATAAAGTCAGATGCTTAACTGACTGAGCCACCCAGGTGCCCCAAGTTTGGGTTATTTTTAGATTCCACACCTATGTAAGATAATATAGTTATTTGTCTTTCTCTGTCTGATTTATTTCCCTTGACATAATGCACTCAGGTCCATCTATGTTGTGGCAAACAGCAGGGTTTCTTTCATTTTTAGGTTCAATAACATTCCACTGCATATACATACCATAGTTTCTTTATCCATTCATCTGTCAATAGACACAGGTTGTTCTATGTCTTGGCTACTGTAAATAATGCTACAATGAACATGGGGGTGCAGACATCTTTTCAAGATAGTGACTTCCTTTCCTTTGGATAAATACTCAGATGGAACTGCTAGATCATATGGTAGATTTATTTTTAAGTTTTTGAGCAACTGACGTACTCTTTTCCATAGTGACTGAACCAATTTACATTCCCACCAACAGTACATACACAAGGGTTCCCTTTTCTGGACATCTTGTTATCTCATCTTTTTTTGATAATAGCCATTTAACAGGTGAGTAAAGTGGTACTGCATTGCAGTTTTGATCTCCAAGTCCCTGTATATTTTCATTTATCTGTTGGCCATTTAGATCTTATTTGGAAACATATTTATTCAGACCCTTTGCCCATTTTTTAAATAATTTTTTTGAGAGAGGAGAGAGAGTGAGAGAGCAAGCACGAGTGGAGAAGAGAGACAGAGGGAGAGGAAGAAAGAATGAATACCAAGCAGGCTCCATGCTCTCCATGAAGCCTGATGAAGGGCTCAGTCTCACAACCCTGGGAACATGACCTGAGCTGAATCAAGATTCAGATGCTTAACCAACTGAGTACCCTGCCCATTTTTCAACTGGATTTTTTTCTACTAAATTGTATGAGTTGTTTATGTACTTCGGCTATTACTAATCCCTTATTTGATATATAATTTGTGAATATTTTCTTCCATTCCCTAGGTTGCCTTTTCATTCTGTTGATGACTTCCTTTGTTGTATAGGTTTTTAGTTTGATGTAGTCCCATTTATTATTGCTTTTGTTGCCTTTGCTTTTGGAGTCAAATCCAGAAAAGCACTGCCTAAGAATGATGTCTAGAAGCTTATCCACTGTTTTATTCTAAGACTTTTATGGTTTTAGGTCTTACACTAAAGACGTTAATCTATATTCAGTTGATCTTTGTGTATGGTTTTGTGTAGTGGTCCTATTTTCATTCTTTTTCATGTAACTGTCCAGTTTTCCCACCATTTATAAGATAGTATTCTATATATACAATATGATCCCATTGTATATTCTGGGCTCCTTTGTCCTAAATTCATTCACTATATACGCATGGGTTCTTTTTTTTTTTTTATGAATACTCTATTTTGTTCAGCTGATCTAAGTCTGTTTTTATGCTTTTTATTACTATAGCTTTGTAAAACAGTTGATCAGGAAGTGTGATGACTCTAATTTTGTTCACATTTCTCAAGATGCTTTCAATATTTCAATATCTTTTGTGTTTCCATTAGGAATGATTGTTCTATTTATATAAAAGATGCCATTGAAATTTTTATAGGAATTGCATCAAATATGTAGATTGTTTTGGGAATATGGAGAAGTAGCAATATAAATTATTTCAATTCATGACCATGAAATATCTTTCCATTTAGTTGTGTCTTCAATTTCTTTCATCAATGTCATGCAGTTTTCAGCGTATGGGACTTTAACTTCCTTTATTAATTTCATTCTTAGGTATCTTATTCTTTTTGATGCAATTGTAAATGAGATTTTCTTAATTTCTCTTTCTAATAGTTCATTAGTATACAGAAATGCAACTGATTTTATCGCCTGCAACTTTACCAATTTGTTTCTTAGTATTCACATTTTTTTGGTATAGTCTTTAGGATTTATTATATATAATAGCATGTCATCTGCAAACAGACAGTTTTACTTCTTTTCTGATTTGGGCGACTTATTTTTTTCCCTTCTAATTGTTCTGGTTAGAACTTCCAATATTCTGTTGAATAAAAGTGGTGAAGTAGGCATCCTGGTCTTATTCCAGATCTTAGATGGAACAGTTTCAGTTTTACACCATTGAGTATGATGTTAGCTGTGGGCTTATCACATGTATTATTATATTCAGGTACATTTCGTCTACACCCATGTTGTTCAGAGTTTCCATCATGAATGGATGATTTTATGAAAATCATACATTTTATCAAATGCTTTTTCTGCATCTCTTGAGAGAATCATATGATTTATTTTTAAAAAATTTTTTAAAATTTATTTTTGAGAGAGAGACAGAGAGTGAGCAGGGGAGGGGCAGAGAGAGGGAGACACAGACTCCAAAGTAGGCTCCAGGCTCTGAGATGTCAGCACAGAGACCGACAAGGGGCTTGAACGTTCAAACCGAGATCATGACCTGAGCCAAACTCATACGCTTAACTGACTCTGCCACCCAGGTGCCCTGAGTATTATATGATTTTTATCCTTTATTTTGTTAATGAGATCTATCACATCAATTGATTGATGGATGTTAAACCATCACTGCAACCCTGGGGAAAAAATTCCACTGCATTATGTTCCTTTTATTGTTGTACTCAGTTTCTTTCCTCTATTTTTGGAAGAGTCTGAGAAGGTTTGGTATTAACTCTTCTTTAATTGTTTGATAAAATTCACTAGCGAAGCCATATGGCCATTGACTTGTTAGAAGGTTTCAAAGTACTGATTCAATCTCCCTATTAGTAACTGCTCTGTTCAGATTTTCTATTTTATGATTAAGTCATGGTAGGTTGTATGTTTCTAAGAATTTATCCTTATTTTGTAGATTGTCCAATTTGTTGGTGTACAATTGATCACAGTAGTCTCTTATGATCTTTGTATTTCTGTTACATCAGTTCTTACATTTCCTCTTTTATAAGTGGTTCTATTTAGTTGAGTCACCTCTTTATTATTGTTATATTTTTGGTGAATCTAATTTTCTTTTATCTTTTCAAAGTGGGAGCTCTTAATATCGTTGCTATTTTTGTTGTCTTTATTCTCTGTATATTTTATTCCTGCTGTTCATTTTCTTCCTTCTAACTATGGGCTTAAAATTTTCTTTGTTTTAATTCATTGAGGTATAAAGTTTAGTTGAGGTCTACAGTTGGAGGAATTTACTAGTGTGAACTTCTCTCTTAGAAGTGCTTTTGCTTCATGTCACAAGTTTTAGAATGCTATATTACCATTTTCATTTCACCCAAGTTTATTTCTTGATTTTGTTTTGAGTTTTTCTTTGACCCACTAATTGATCAGTAGCATGCTGTTGAATCTCCATATATTTGAGAGTTTTCCATTTTTCTTCTTGTGATACCTCATTTCATACCATTATGAATAGAAAAGATGCTTGATATGATTTTAATCTTAAACCTATTAAGATTTATATTGTGGTCTAATATATGATCATGGCAAATGGACCAAGTTTGTTTGAGAAGAATGTATACTCTAGATTTTGGAAGGAAAATTCTGTAAATGTCTGT